ACTGTGCTAGTCTTTCAGTAAACTTAAAAACCTATGCCGTTTATGTTGGTCACTAGTGGTTTTAAATGTAACGACAACTGTGCTAGTCTTTCAGTAAACTTAAAAACCTTGCCGTTTATGTTGGTCACTAGTGGTTTTAAATGTAACGACAACTGTGCTAGTCTTTCAGTAAACTTAAAAACCTTGCCGTTTATGTTGGTCACTAGTGGTTTTAAATGTAACGACAACTGTGCTAGTCTTTCAGTAAACTTAAAAACCTTGTCATTTATGTTGGTCACTAGTGGTTTCAAATGTAACGTCAACTGTGCTAGTCTTTCAGTAAACTTAAAAACCTTGCTGTTTATGTTGGTCACTAGTGGTTTTAAATGTAATGACAACTGTGATAGTCTTTCAGTAAATTTAAAAACTTTGCCGTTTTTGTTGGACACTAGTGGTTTCAAATGTAATGACAACTGTGCTAGTCTTTCAGTAAACTTAAAAACCTTGCCGTTTATGTTGGTCACTAGTGGTTTTAAATGTAACGACAACTGTGATAGTCTTTCAGTAAACTTAAAAACCTTGCTGTTTATGTTGGTCACTAGTGGTTTTAAGCTAATACTTAGAATTGTTATGAGAGCAGATTGCTTTATTTTGCTGACCACAATCTTCAAGAGGTTATCTGAATAGCTTGTTTATCATTGAACCCAAAATGTGTCTAAAAGCTCATTATTACACATTCACAAGTATAGAAGATACCAACTATCAGTTTCTCTGTAATTCAAGAAGATTCACCTCGATGGTGGACTGGTCAGTATTGTAGAGATTTTATATATAATGTTAGGAAAACATATAGGTAAAAAAAAAATCAATTTAAGACAAATAGAAAACCCTATAACCCAAAAGTTTTTGAAAGGTGGATCTTTCTTCATTAGAGGCAGACTGGGAATGGCTAAGTGAGAGAAAAAGTGGACTGATGTCATGGCAGACCACCATGATGACCCGGAAGTGTTTTAAGATTTTATAAAACCAACAGCATTTTTTTAATTAATCATCCAGGGCTAACACCAGTGTAAGATATTTGATAGATTCTCTTCTCCTGTATTACTAAGACAGATTAAACCTGGCATTGAACTGACACCAAATGATCATGACCAGATCTTGTCTGTCGTGTTACGCTTTAAATATTATTCTTAGAAAGTGTGATTAACCGTGCATTATAGATGTGTTTGATTAAATCCTTAGGATCTCAATCAACTAGAAATGGCAAAGAAAAATCTACAAGAACGTCAACAGGAATTAGAAGAACTTTTAGGTCTACAGCAATTACTTAGTGAAGAAGTTATCGACGAGAAACCCAAGTTCTCCAAATATGAACGAACTAAAGAAATGTACAAGTTTGGAGAAGGTTTTGAAGAGAAGGGAACTGACAGATTTAAGGAACATTATGAACTGGAGCTGGAACTGTTAGAAACTAACAAGAAAACTTTTGAAGACTTAGAATTTCAACATCTTGAACATCAAACACATTTTGAAGAAGAGAAAGATATCTTGAGTCAGAAGCTCAATGATCTGAGAAATGATATCCAGGACAGGCAGGCTAGTTTTATTTCTATTCTTTAAGACAAGTTTGTTTGTTGTAATATTTCATTGACGAAAAATTAAATTAAAAACCAAAACCAGACACAAACTAAACAAATGTGAAGCATTAACCTAATAGAAAGTTTTTTAAAGTTACAATTATATGTGGTATGAGGTTTTTCAATACTGTGAGATGGTTAGATCTAGATTAGTTTGTGAGAGTTAATTAGAAATGTTTCCAAATTATGAGCATCTGTTTATAATAAACACAAATTACAGTTAGTTTCGTAGACTTAGGTTTATAATATAAAATAGTATATGGTTTTTTTTATGTACAAGTTCATTCAGTCTTCAGTGAACAAATGTGACAAATAGTGCCTCAATGAGAATTATATAAAACAATATTTAGATGACTACTAAAAGCCTATAAAGCTCCTCGATACTTTACTGTACTTATAAATATTTTGTTATATTTAGAATAAATTACAAGGGCTAAAAGAGCAACGGAAGTGTGTGAAGGAGCAGATAACACAAGAGAAGACCAAGGCTCACTTGGAAAAGAAACGAGCAATGGGAGAATTGAATCAGGTAGTGAATATGAAAAATAAGGGTGGTTAAGATTGTGATAATTCATTTACACCAATTTTATAACAGTTAAAATATTCATTGTTTAAGAAAGAAAAAAAAACACCAGATACCATTGGAAGTGGTGTATTGATCATTTGTTACTCTGCTCCAAAATATTAATTTTTATCCATCGTTTGATGAAGTGATTTCATGGTCATGAATGAGAAATAGATAAGTTGGTATGGATAGTTTAATTTGTTAACTATAATATGTAATCATTTTTAGAGAGAGAATCTGTAACCATCAGTCTGTTGGAAATAACGTTCAATCAGTTAAGAAGGAATAGACCTGGAATAATGATTTTTTCTCAATTTAGGAATTTTTTAAGTTCAAGAGTTTAGCAAAGTAGTGAGATACATCATCAAATGTACAAATATATATTTGCTCATCAGGTTACTTCCTCACTCGGATGACTAACCTCACCAATGATCTCACTGGTCTGATGAGAACTGATGTCAAAACTACAGTTTTATGTTGGTCATACAAGTACATATTAATGCTTAGTTTGAGCTCACTAGTTTGTTACAATGAAGTATTTGTTTAAAATTTAGAGGGGAAGAATTTGTGAGGCTAGAACTGGATATCCTTATTTTATTTTACAGGAAAATTATACAAGTGGGTTTATGAACTAAAAGTACACTGTATCAAGAGTTTATTCAACATTTGATTAAAATTAAACTTGAACATTTAGTAGGAAGTTGATCAGTGATGCCTATAAAGACATTTTTTTGTGTGCTTTTAGTTGCAGCTCAAGTTTCAGGAGACAAATAAACTGTTAGAGAGTTTACAAGGTGTTTCTGATTCGAGTAGTACTCCAGAAAGTAGTTCTGAGAACTCTTCTGTTTTGTCCGATCATGAGCGGGTCAGTGTAAGAAACTCTTTGTATATCATAAGATACATATGCATTCATTGTTAACGTTGTTAAATGTTGTCATTTCAGTTTTATTTATTCACAGTGACCGCTGTCTGTGATATTATCTATAGAGTTTAAAATTAACTCCATTTTATTGTACTTTGTTTTTACTGCTCTATTTGTTGATTAGACCAAATTTACACCTGATAGTGAAGTTTTACTTTTTCAAGGTAAATTTATTATATGTAATAAGAAAAAGCAAGTTAGTTTAGTGAAAATTGTATTTTTTTTAGAATTTTTAACTTCAAATTAGATAGAATTACTTCTGAAATATTAAAAGCCTTTTCTTGTTCAGTTACTCTCGTGCTGTCAACTACCATGTGACTTTAGGCTCTGAAAGTTCTTTCTGCATGCATTAATTTACCCAGAATCCTCCATTCTTCCACATGACTTATTGATTATGCACCAGATTTTCTTGTTGGCGGTTGTACTGTTAACTTTGTTATGACTTATTGATTGTGCACCAGATTTTCTTGTTGGCGGTTGTACTGTTAACTTTGTTATGACTTATTGATTGTGCACCAGATTTT